TCTCTCTCTCTCTCTCTCTCTCTCTCTCTCTCTCTCCCACTCTCTTTACATGGCTAAGTGCCACCACACACGCTCCGGTCACCCGGCTCTCCCTGTGAGAGAAAACTCCGTCCAGTTTAGCTATTACCACATCTTTTCTCAAAGATCCAATTGAACTAACTTAGGCATTGGAAGGCCTTTGGCCAATACCCCTTGGATGTGGTCTTTTACTCCTATTTGTTTCACAAGAATCGAGGAAGAGAGAGAATGAAGCTCGAAGGGTGAAGAATCTACACGAGAATATTCTCCTGTGAGAAATCTGCACAAACACTGCAGCTACCCAAAACAAGCCGTAATTTTCTATTTGAAACTACAATACAAATGCAAAAGCTTCAGTCAAATAGTTAAAAGCTATTAAAGCAATAGCAGTATGGGAAGAAAACAACTTTAACATACAAAGGCTTTAGATTGCTATAAAAATTATAAATTTCCTCTTTTCGTAAAAGCCAAAAACAAAACCCTTGTAATATAAATAATATATAAAATAAATTAGAAAGTATTTTAAGGTAAAGTAAAATTAAATAAATAAATAATAGGTAAATAAAAGTAGAAAAAATTAAGATTATGAAAGCAAGCCTAGTATGGTGAAGCACGTCAAAGACGCTGTCCTAAAGCCTTTGTAGCCTCCCTACGTGCAAGTATTGACAGTCTACAAGACTCCAAGATACGACCCCCAATACACAGGCTCAAGTCCACTATGAGCATATTCACAGTCGGATAGAGGTCTTCAAGTCACAAAACCGTTGCCCAAAAATAATAATATAAGTATAGAAAGTAGGAAAGGTAGAAGATGAGAGAAGAAGATTGTGGTATGTGGTATTGTAGTAGTATTTGTGTTACGTGGTCGTATCTGTAGTAGTTTGGTAGTTTATCAAATGAGAAGGATGAGTGGCCTTTTATAGGCATCCAAGAACATGTAACCTCCACCACATTAAACTAAAAAAATTAAGTTATTTAATATAGAAATAAAATCTAAAAATTAAATATTTATAACCCCCACAATAAATAAAATAAAACAGCCGAAATAATGAAATAAATCAAAACAGTAAATTTTTTAAAACTTTTTTTAAATTCCAACACAAAGAAGGATCATGAGGGGGAGGGGGAGGGGGGATGGGAGGGGAGGACATGAGAAGAGGGGAGGTGGATAGGGAGGGAGGCCACCAACCCCCAAATGGGACGATGTCTGAGATTTTTCCTTAGGGTTCTCTTGTAGATCGTTTTGTACACCTTTTTCAATATGCAGTTTTTTGAATGAGGTTACAATTTTGAAAAAAACAGTTAAATACCTTTTTGGTCATCAGGTTTTACACCAAATTTCAATGTGGTCACTCAGAAATAAATTTAGCCCAATTGGTTACTCTATTATCCAAAGTTTATAATTTGTAGGCTTGCAGTTAGTTTATAGTTAAGTTGTTGGGTTAAATACCTTTTTAGTCACTGAAAAAAAAGTTAACCAAAAGTCAAGCAAATGCAAAACTTTATTTTGAACATTTTTGTGTGTGTTCAAATCTATGTATTGACATAGTTATGGATTTGAATTTTTGTGAATGTGAGAGTATTATAATGGTTAGGATTATGATTGGAGTTTTTTTTGAAAAGATTGATTTGCTTTTTTGTGAAACTATTCTTCATATGATTCCTTTTTTTGGCCTTAATTGATGCTGCACCAACCATAAATTTTTAGCCTACGAGTGGCATATGCAAGAGCATAGCATGGGCATGGATTTTGGCTAAATTTTTGTTCTAAGTGGTCAAATGGAAATTTTGTATAAAACCTAATGACCAAAAAGGTGTTTAACCCAACAACTTAACAACAAATCTATAAATTGTAAACTTTGGTTAATACAATGACCAATTGGGCTAATTTTTTTAATTTTTTTTATGACTAACTAAATTAAAATTTGGGAGATTCACTATTATACCAAAATATAGGAGCACAAATTATAAAAAAACTATATATGAAATGGACTTTAGAAACACACCAAATCTCATTTACAACATAACAAAAAGGCTTTTAACTTCTTTTAAATTACAAAACTGCCATTGATTTCTTAAAACAAACCCAACCCCAAAACCTCATAAAAAAGCCCAAAACACCCAATAGGGTATCAACGTAATTTAATAATCAAAATTAAATTCAATAGGGACATCTGTCATTTTTTGGGTTTTTTTTGGGTTTGTTTATAGAAATTAAATGGTGTAGGGTTTATTTATATTATTAGTGCTAATAATGGGTATATGACTAAATATCTCTTAAAATTTTAGATAAAACTCAATGACAAAAAAAGTATTTAATCCTTGAAAAAAGAAAAGAAAATAGAAATATGAAACTAGCCTTTTGCGATGTTACGATTTTGAAAAAAGAAAAAGAAAAGAAAAAGAAGAGTATGGGTTCCTAAACGCAGCGTTTTGTGATAAGAAAAACCTCTCACAACTTGGCGGGAATCTCATTTCTCGTCTTCACCGTGTGGCTTTCTTTCTGGTCTTCAGCACCAGACCCCAAAACCCTGAAAAACCCTGCACAACCCAAAGCCATGAAGAAAGGCATAAGCAGAAAACGGCCAGCGCTAACACAACAGCCGTCACCTGCGAACCCACCCAAGCAGCACGCCACGTCCCAAGAAGATGAATTTCTGGACGAGGACGTCTTCCTCGACGAAACCCTCTTCGAGACTGAAGACGACCTCATTCTTCGCGACATTGAGGAGCGCCAGGCCCTTGCTTCCCGCCTCACCAAATGGGCCCGCCCGTCTATCTCCCATGCCTACATTTCCGCCTCCCGAAGCATCGGTCAGTCTTCAAATTTTGCTTGATTGGGTTTTTTCTGTAATGGGTTACCATTTTTGAAAAAAAATACTTTCCTAACTCTTCAGTTTGATCTTGGATATTGGCGGTTTTAATTGTTTTTTTATGCCTTCCGGGCTGTAGCTTTTCAGCAATTGGAGATTGATTATGTTATTGGAGAGAGCCATAGAGAATTGTTGCCTAATTGGTCCGGGTCTGCTGCAATTATCCGAATTTTTGGGGTTACAAAGGAAGGTTAGCTTGTTCACTTTTCGGGTTATCATTCTGCTTGGTGGGTGAGAAACTGGAGCAAGTGTTAATAAAGGGTATTTAACAAAACGTCATATGTTGTTATTTGTTCCCAGAAGTGTCATGTTGTTGCATTGAAATCGTATATGCTGCTGTATTTAACAAAATTGTGCACGTATATTATTAACTTGAAGGATTGTTGCTACTAAACTAAATTAATGCAATTGTTTTTTGTTTTGAGCCTGATAAATTGTCCCTTAATCCATCCTAGGACATAGTGTTTGCTGCCATGTTCATGGATTTGAGCCATATTTCTATATCAGCTGTCCTCCGGGAATGGGCCCTGATGATATTTCCAGGTTTCATCAAATTCTTGAGGTACTTTGGGTTTATTTCTTGAGCAGCTCAGATGTCTTTGTTAAGTTGCATTGCTGTAATTGGTTATGTATTTTGTGTTTGTTGATGCAATAGGGGAGAATGGGGGAGATGAATCGGAACAGTAAGGTACCAAAATTCATTCGCCATATTGAAATGGTGCAGAAGAGGAGTATCATGTATTACCAGCAGCAGGATTCTCATCCCTTCCTCAAAATTGTTGTTGCTTTGCCAACAATGGTGGCCAGCTGCCGGGGTAAGAGTTTCAATTTCATTAACATTCGTAATGTGCAGTAATTCACATGTATGGCGGATCTGCTTTACTTTTGCATGAATCATCTACACGCAGAAGAATGCGTTTTACAGTGGATTACCACAGAATTATCTTTGATGATAATTGCTTTCCAATTTTTCTCTTTTTATATTCTGAGAGCAAAAATTCTCAAATTGGGACAAGGATCCTCTCCTGAGTTCCTTCAGTGCTAAGGTTTGAACAGTAGCCAACCATGTAACCAAAATCAGATCGTGTCGCTCATAATGTCTTCTTCGTTTACAAGCTCCACAGACAATTTTCCTAGTAACTGCCTCTACTCTCTCTGTCAAAACATTCAAGTCCCATATCTGAGAGAGTTTTGTATAGTGAAAACTGGAATTAAGTGAACTTGAAGTTTTCTAAGAAGATGAAACTAATCCATCTTTCTATTTCGATTCAAATTCTTATTTCCATTTGGATTATGTTTCAAAGTATCCATTTGCACTGGAATTTCAAGAAATCCAAGGGCAACGAAAAATACTCAGATCTGATTTGTTTTGCCCATTTTATCCTTTCTGAACTTTTTATTAGTTTTTTCTTCTGTCTAAGAAAAAAGATTTGACAATCCTTGGCCTTGGTGGCTATGGAAAAACCTGAATCCTTCTTCCAAATGATCTACACCTTGCCCAATCTCTTCAAACTTATTAGTTTCTTCATTTTTTTAAAATTTATTTAATGTTTCATTGTTGTTTTACCTGAAGAGAAGACAAACTCTATTATAATGGAAGGGAAAAAAAACAGGAAAATGGTGGAAATAGCTGAAAGTCTGTAGCTTTGGATTGGTAAGAACATAGATAAAGGAGAAACAGAAGAATCAAAGAAGGGCTCTTCGTAACTATTTTTGTTTGACGTGTATTTTAAAAAAGTGTATTTCAATTTGCAAAAGTAAACAAAAGGCCAAACTAATTGTAAACCATAGGATCTGATATTAGCCATGTGTCTGTATCTAATTAAAAGCTGAGATAGGTTAGTAGAGAACGAGTTTAAGAGAGGATCCGAATCCTTCATATTGCGTCTTGCATCTCATGGTGTACCGCCATGTTTCCATCATGTAGCTTATGTTTAATAATGGTTTATTTATATCCCATACTCTCTTAAACTTCCAGGTATTCTTGATAGAGGCATACAAATTGATGGTCTTGGTATGAAGAGCTTCATGACATATGAAAGCAATGTTCTTTTTGCTCTTCGTTTCATGATTGATTGCAACATAGTTGGTGGAAATTGGATTGAGGTCCCTGCTGGAAAATATAAGACAGCGAAGCATTCGTCGTACTGCCAATTAGAATTCGATTGCCTGTATCCTTACGCATGCAAGGCACTCATTATCATATGGTGAACAATGGAATGAATGTCATTTGCATGTTAAGGTATTTCCTACTTGGAAAATGTTTTCTTGACAACCATTTTCTTAGATATTCAGACTTGATTAGCCATGCTCCAGAAGGGGAATTTTCGAAGATGGCTCCATTTCGCATATTGAGCTTTGACATTGAGTGTGCTGGCCGTAAAGGTCATTTTCCTGAGCCTACCCATGATCCTGTAATCCAGGTTCAGTTCTTTTCAATACGAGTTTCTGGAATAAAATAATTAAGTGACTTACTTGTTTTTTGGTATTCATTTTTTATGTTACTCAAAAGAGCTGTTTCTGAACTGAGTTTCTGTTTTCCTTCCTATAGATTGCAAACCTAGTGACTTTGCAGGGAGAGAATGAGCCATTTATCCGTAATGTCATGACTCTCAAGTCATGCTCTCCTATAGTTGGTGTTGATGTGATTTCTTTTGATACAGAAAGAGAAGTCTTGCTGGCTTGGAGGGTAATATAATTGCACTTACATACTCTCTTTTACTCAAAAAAAAAAAAAAAAAAAAAAAAAAAAA